GCTGCTTTCTCCAGGCTTCTTAATGACCCAGGCTGAAAAATGCAACACGGCGATGAAGATGGATGCATGCACCACCCTTCCCGAACTCAGCATGCCGTTTTACACCAATTTTAGCATTTTGGTGGTAAGCGCTTATTTTGGGAGCCTTCAGAACACACAAAATACAAATGGAAGGGTGGGGAGTGAAGTCAGAATTGCTGGTTTATTTTCCATTCAGAGAGAGAAGAGTTTTCTGGCACGGATGCCCAGAGGTTAGGACAAGGCCAGCCAGTTTGTCATTTGTACCATACGTGGCAACGCTTCACCTGAAACGTGACTTCTTCTCTTTTGTTTTAATTCCCTTTAGGTACCCAATTCAAGCCAAACAGTAAGTTTAATTTTAATTCCCACTTTGAGCCGTTTATAATGCATCTGTAGGCAGATTGTACTTAATGATACTTAATGGCAACTCTCCCACTATAATTAAGAAATAACGGGGCGGTTATCGCTAGGTGGATCTTCCGAGTGACATCTCTATTTTGGTGGGTGAATTTTAAAACACTTGCAAAGCACAATTGCTCTCCTTGGAAGCAGGGAGCTGCAGCCCAAAAGATGCGTCTGGACAGGGCCAATAAGAAAGAGGCAGCAGGTGATTCTCTGCTATCTTTGCTTCCTTTGGGAAAAATGGAAACTAATCACCTCCATGTATGATCTTATTAAGATTTTTTTTACCGTGCATAAGGAGTAAAATTTTATCTTAAAACATTTCACCGATTCCAGAAAACTTTTCCCAAGAGAGGGTTTTTTAAAGGAGTATGCCAATTTTTCCTTGAACAACTGTCAATTACATAGAGGATAAGGGAGAATATTTGTTTTTCCCAGATAACTTTCCCTGCTCTTTCCTAGGGCTTTCGTGTCACTAGAGTATATTATGCTAATCCATTCTTTAATCATAGTTTGAACAAACTACACCCTAGGCCTAAACGACCAGCCGTAATGTCTGAATCCTGCCGGTGTACAAAGTAAACTTGTGTCAAGTGGTTGTTGCTTATGAATCTTTTCAGGTTAACGTCACCATCCAGTCCATCACAATTCAGGCGCCAGAGGGGCTGCGCACTCGCCTGACTGATGCAGACGTTGTGTTGCTCCCTGCGTTAAATAATCAGTCGTGCAGCAACGTAGTTCTTGAGGTAGGCAACTCTCACTATTTCGTGCAGGGACAACAAACTTTTGCACTTAATCCCAGAGAAAACGTGGAATGTTTCACACTGTGTCTTCATCACCTCAGTTAAAACTCTGCGCTAAACCAAGATTTATGTCTGGCACGTCCAACCTTTTGCCTTGCCTGGTCTGCCTTGAGTGAAGAGGAATTGTCTTGGGCCGCATAGAACATAAAATTAACCTATATAAATCACACAATGTTAAAAGTCTACGATCTTGTAGGGCTGCATTACTAGCTGTTTAGGGCTGCATGCGGCCCAGGGGCTGTGGGTTGGACATGCCTGGTTTATGATAACCATGGACAGTTGATGAATTATCCCAGGTTGGCTGAGCCTAGCAGAAAGCCCACCCGGGTTTAAGGAGGCCTCTACTTGGCTGCATTTGTCGAACTAAAAATTCTGAAACACGAGGGAAAGAAAGGGCATTTTTGTTCGGCTTGCTTATGGCACCTGTCTTCTGGAACGTGGTCCATTCTGAGAGCTGGGCAGCTTCCATGCCGGGAAGCTCTGAATACTTGGCTTTTCTCCCAGGCTCTGGGCTGGGGTGGCCGGAGCATCTTGCAAGGTGCTGGAGACGTTTTCATCTCGCTGGCCGATTTCGCCATCTTGTTTCAGGTCTTTATTCAGATGATAGGAATTTAAAAGCCCTATAAAAGCCAGAGGTTGTGAGCCACCTGGAGGAAATTTGGAGTCGGGCAGCACCTGAGTCAAAGGAAATCCCCCTTGCCTTTCAGGCCAGATATCTCATTACCTTTACCGAGGCAGGTGAAATCGTGGAGGCAACCGTCTCGCTGGTTCTGGGGACAGTTCATACCAGCGTCGTTCTTCTGCAGCAGTTTTTTGCCATCCATTTCATACAGGTAACTCCTAAAGTATGTGAATCTTTTTTTAAAAAAAAATATTGAATCTCCCTCAGGGCACCGGAGCCTTCACACTGGAAGACGGGTATTTCTCAAAAGGAAGGGGGAAGCGTTAAAGATTTATATTTAAATTTCAGCTCCGATTTGTTTGAGTCACTGTTTCTCTACTACAGGTCACTGAAATAATAATAATAATAGCTACTTAATAAAGCAGTCCCTACAATGCTAAGAGATTTGTGACCTGGTATTCAAAGCAAAGAATGAAAAATCCGTAATTTGCAACATTTACTTTTTTTTTTTTTTTTAACAGCAAGATACTCGGCCTGTTCCTTTCAGCGGAAGCCCAGGTTATCTTGTTGGGTTACCAATAAGAGCCGGATTTAGATCCCCTGGATATCCTTTTTTACTCCATTATTTAAGCAAAACACAAGCGTTCCATTGTATCTTGGAACAGTCACTAAATGAATCTTTGTAAGTCAAGGACTACCTGTAGCTGATATTGTGGAGCTGGGCAGTGTTTTGAATCAGTTCTGCTACTTCTTGTACCAGTTCTGCCATCATGTTTGCGAGCCACAACTTACGATGTATGTATTCTGCAAATCCAACTAATTGGGGCTAATTCGGTAATCCACAATTAAAGGAACTACCCGTAAACCCAGCTGCTCCTGCACCAAAACTTTCATGTTTTTCCTTCACTCTCTGCATTCACCTCTGGAGTCATTCAGAGCCTGAACGAAGGAAGCCAGCTGACCATGATGAAAAGCACCACAGCCCAGGATTGTTTCCGGGCGGAAGGGAGCCGAACCCCAGTACTGTTTGGGTACAATATGGTGTCCGGATGCAAAGTGCGGTAAGGAATAAGCTGGCTGCTATTCTGACGTGTTGTCTCCCCTCCTTACCTGGATGCTGGGAAGGTGGAGAGGTGCGTTCATTGCAACAATTACCCCATTAGGTGTGGTAGCCGGTCTTTCTGGTCCCGAAGTCCTGAGGAATTGCTAGGGGGCTTTTGTGGAAGGATGAGAAGAGGGGCTTCTCTGCCTTCATCTGGCAGTCACCACATTGGGGAAGAGCCCTCTCCTTCGTCTTTCCCCTGCTTATTTCTGAGTTATTGGCAACCTCATCCCAACATTCCAAAGAACACACGCCGAGTTTCACACTTAGCTCTTCCACAGGCAGAATTACATCAGTTTACACAGGCATCCGCCACAGGGTTGCTGATGACAATTTTCTTTCTTGAAGAATTACCGACAGTGCCGAATGCGCCCTTCTGGCTCCAGAGATCCTAAGGGTGTTGAAGGGCCAAAATTTCCCAGACTACGTGGCCTCTTTTGGAGATTCCTTGCCTCAGAAGGGACCGGACTGGGTCCAAATCTTTTACAATTCCACCAAACCGGTAAGAAGTCAGACTAACATCTGGGTGGTTGTTTTCTTCACCCCAAGAACCGTCCTGGAAAAGAAACACTACCCCAAGACTATTTGGGGGAGATGCAAATAGGCTACGTAACAGCATTTATCCTATGTATGCAAAGTAAAACAAAAAACCCCCGAAACACAGCACAAAAAGAGGCTGGGGAATTTACCGATGTCCCCAAGCAGTTTGGGTGCCACTTTCATTCTTATCTTAACAATTTATGTGCTCTCACCGGCTGACTCAAAGGCTCCAAGCCCTGTTTACGGGACAAAGTGCAGTAGGTGACTTCCTGCATGCTTAGCCAGAGTGGGGTGGTGGGGGAGGGCCCCTCCTCTCCCCTCCCCTCATGCAAAGTGGGCCTTGTGACTGACAGACTTCTGACTCTCATTCAGGCCACCTGTGAAATCCCTGTGTCCTTTGCAGTGGAAGTGAAGTGGACTAAATACGGCTCCTTGGTGAACCCCCAGGCTAAAATCGAGAGCCTCACGGTGATCGTAACAACGGCTGCCTTACCCAAGGTGGGTGGTGATTTTCTGGGAAAGGGAGGCGAGGGGTGGGGGGAAATGGAAGAACACTGGGAGCTAATTTTTAACTTCAGCGCACTCATTCTGTGATCGCAAAGGACGGTGGGTGGGTGCTAAGACATCTGCCTAATAAAACTGGCATTCTCTTCTGAAAGAGTAACTTTGGCGCCTGGCAGCATGGCTGGCTGGGGAATGCTGGGCATTGAAGTCCACACACCTTAAAACTGCAGAGGTTGAGAAACACTGGTCTAGATCCCATTTGGGGGGCAAATGGTGGTCTGATTGGGTCTCTCTCTCTCTCTCGCAGGTCAATTCAGGAAGCGAAAGCATCATCCAGATACTCAGCTCTGTCTTGTTTGACGATATCTCTGCCCCTGCACAGCCAGGATACAAAGCTTGGCCCACCATTGAGGCCCACTTGCCCTTTGATTTTTTCTTCCCTTTTGTTTAAAACCACCTGCAGTATCTGAAGATGCCGGCTTCGTTGTTGTTGTTTTTTAAAAGGGGGAATCGTTCTTCAGAGCCACACTGAAGTTGAAAACAGTTGTTGCATCAAAATGAGCAGAGGCCAAGGTTGCTTCTGCCAGCATCGACTTTGGGAAGACGCCCAGCTGGGATGACGATGGACCTTGGCAGAGTTTGGTTGAAGATCTTTCTGCTGTTGCTAGTTCATAAGCAAATACGGACCGAGGCCCGGATTCTGCCAGGTGCTACTGCGCAAGAGAAGCACGCAGATGGAAAGGCTGGGAGATGGAGTCCGTGCATTCGGCAGGCCCCCGATTAGAGAGCTTGGCTTGCTTCTGTCCCGAGTCAAGTATAACGGGGTCTTCGGGAACTTAAGATGCAATCGTTAATGGAGCCCCGATGTCAGATGCTCAAAGGGCATCAGAAGAATAAAGAATTAAAATTCTGAAACAGGGACGTTGGAGACGGATTCTGCCCTTGTAGCTTAAGAAACCTCTTCCGACTCTTACAAGGGCAGCTTTTGTGAACTACCGGAGGCCACTTCCGAATATGGATTGGAATTTATTACATTATTATTTCCACTAAGTCTTGGGAAACTGTACAGCTGTACAAGAAAGAATGGCATAGCTCATTTGAGAGTGCTGGAGCTGTTCTACCACTCCGGGTCTCCAAAAGAGATCTAGGCCAGCCGAGTCTCAGCTGGGTGCCCTCCAACCAACCCCCCCCCCCCCCCGCTGTGCACAATTGGGAGGATGGCGGAAGGCAGCGTCCACTCTATCTGAAGGGCATCAGCTCCGGAGGAAAGCAGCCCGCGCTGATAAATGTGCCAAAGGATCTATTTACAAGGTCACCCTGTAAACATAAAGTAGCTTCTCAGGGCCAGAACAGAATCCAAGGAAGAGATTTGGCCACCGTAGGTCTAGGTCAGGCATCTTATTTGGACTGGTTGAGGAGCCCATGTTGCTTCAAGAGGTTGTTCAGCCTTTCAATTTCTATTTCCTGTTGAAGAGAAAGAAATGAGGTGATTTCCTGTGTCCCTCAAGCCTTGATGCATCTTTTTATCAACAGCCCTTTTCCATTTGGGGGACGGGGGGACAGACGAAGAAGAAAAAGTGGAATTTAAAAGCTCTAAGGGAAGCCTATGACCAATTACCTCTTAACTATTGAATAAAAATGATCACATCTGAATTCTCCGCTATCGCTATTGATTCTTTTCCTTTCATTTGTTCCTGGCTACATTTTATATTTCATTAAAAAAACCCAAGGGTTCTGGGCTCTTAACAAGAGCAAAGTCAAAGCTGCACCATTACATTGGAATAAATTTAGTGGCAAGCAGCACAGAAATCTTATTGTTTCCGCTGGATGCAGGGCAATCCTCTTGAAGGAATTAAAAACTTACCTGCTCTGCACAGCTGCTTTCCAGCTGCTGGACTTTGGTACTCAGCTGCAAATTGGCTTGCTTCAGCTTGGAGATCTGCTGCTCTGTGCGGGTCTTCACGGATAAAATTATTCCTGCAGTTGGAATTGAAGGACAGAACAGTTTACAAAACCATCGGCCAGGCCTGAGGGCCGCTTAAAAATTAGCACTGCAACGTATTTACAGCAAACATCCTGCTTAGTAAGCCAGGACAGAAAAGGGAACGGAGGGCTAGCGTTGTAAAAACAAGGACAAACCTAGAGGCTAATTCAAAACTTTCTAGTTCTTTTATCGGTTCTCAAAAAGGTGGAAACTAATCAAGGAGAGAACCAACCTAGAATCAAGGACAAATTTCCTGACAGTGAGAGCAATTAATCAGTGGAATGACTTGCCTCCGGAAGTCGTAGGTGTTTCAACACTGGAGATTTTTAAGAAGAGATTGGACAGCCATTTGTCTGACGTGTTCTAGGGTTTGCTGCTTGACCAGGGGTTGGACTAGAAGACCTCCAAGGTCCCTTCCAACTCACTGTTACTCGGGGGTCTGAAAGCCCACCCACTGAAGCAATGGGCTTTGGCAAAGCAGGAGGCGTCATGTAAAGACAGTCTTGATAGACAGGAGATGACAGACAGGAGGGAAGAAGGTAGCAGACACACAGAAAAAAACAGGCTGGAAACACTCAGGATCAGATTGTCCAAGAATCAGCCGAAAGTCTCGGTCTTTAGGTCAGGGAGCCAACTCCAAAAATTCCAAAGGAGGTGAAAAGTCCCACTCAAGCATTTCAATCACTCTTGGATTAAACCGGACACGGTTCTTGAGTTTAATTCCCAACACCTCCCTTCAAACCCGTCCGGCTTTCAAGGCGTACCGTTGATGATCCTGGCCACCCGCCACAGCCTGAGCAGAATCAGCAGGCCGAGCGCTTCAAACTGATGCTCCTGGAAGAGGACCACAATGTCCAGGATGAAGGAGACGATGACCACCAGGGCGTCCAAGACCTCGAACTTGTGGTGGAAGAACTCCAGGCGGTAGGCGAAGAGCTTGAAGCTGACTTCCACCAGGAAGAGGGAGAGGATGGAAAGGCTCAGGTAGTGAAGGACCTGGGAGACACAGAAAAGGGGCCACAGGTAGGTGACAGAGCCTCCCAGGATACAACGGGGGAGTGTGGAGATGGCACAAGGCACAATTGCTCTTCACCTTTTTTAAAAATTATTATTATTAGTCTTGTGCAGGAAGGTGCAATAAATACAGGAAGTCCCCAACTTAACAACTACAATGGAGCCCAAAATTGATGTTGCTAAGCAAGACAGTGAAGTGAGTTGGGACACTTCACAGATGGAGCCTGCAACTGTCCCTAAGTACATGCCAGTTGCCAAGCCCCCAAATTTGGATCACATGACCCCGGGGATGCTGCAACAGTGGTAAGGGTGAAAAACAGTCCTGTTTTCAGTTCCCCTGTAACTTCCAATGGCCACTAAACAAATGGTTGTTAAGTTGAGACTCCCTGTATAACAGGGAGCTGGCTTAGAAAATGAATTTTAATTGGGTGTTTGTAGTTTTTAATATAAGGGCCAAATTTTTAATATATTTTAAACTGCTTTTAAATTTTGTGGGTATATGCTGTTTTAATATGGCTGTACACCGCCCTGAGTCCTTCGGGAGAAGGGCGGTATAAAAATTTAATAAATAATAATAATTTCAGCATTTTTTCCGTTTTCACACTATCTTGGTCTACGGTTCTACAGTTTCTCCTTACTTTGCCCTGTTTCTTTTATGGTCCTACAGGACAAGAAGATTGCACATAATGTACTCTTATCCCAATCAGTAAAAAATCTTCAATTATCTGGTTTCTTAGGTTCTAGCAGACTCATCCAAGCTTATCTTTGCAAGGTTTCAAAATCTGCTCTCTTTTTGCTTTTTCAAAAACAGAGAGCCTGGATATGACTCCCACCACAACCTTCTGGATGACCTTAAGGCACCTCCTGCCTAGAGGTTCTCCTCTTCACCCATTTTTCTCACCCTTGGTGCGATCTTCTCTTTGTCAGGGTGAATGACCTTCAGATCCAGAAGCAGCTCTCCCAGCACCAACACAGCATCCAAGATCACCAGGCAAACCACCGCGATCTGGGACGAAAAGGGAAAGCATTCAGGTAAAAATAATAAAATGTTCTTGGAAGTCCATCACCAGATGTTGAGGTCGGTTCCCATATACATTAGCAGCAAATATAACTGAAGCCCAACACATGAGTGCAGGGGAAGGGGAGAACAATTGGGACCATCCCATTTTAGCATTTCTTAATTCTTTTCCCAAAACAATGACTGAAAAAATTTAACAGCAATAGTTAAAAGCGGTGTTCCTCAACCTGGGCCACTTTAAGATCTGTGGACTTCAATTCCCAGAATTCCTCAAGCCAGCATGAAGCCCACGCATGGGGGCCCGGTTAAAGCACTGGCCACCTAACTGGAAAACCAGGAATGGTAACCCAACTCCAATAAACAAGCTAACAAGAAACAAGAACCCAATCAAGGAACCAGCAAATTCACTCCCACCTAAACTGATAGGGCAAACCACTAGTATATAAAATGAGACCAAACCCCACTCCCTACTAGCACTGATGATGTTACCTACTTTGGTAATGAAATGTCTGCAAGAAAACCACTAAGCTCAGAGAGCAGCAAGGACCCCACATTGGTAAAACTTGCTCAGAAATGTGCACACAAGCCATGGAATGCCATGATTTACTTACACGGTTTACTAAATAAACCATGGCTAGGTTCACACTGCTAGTTATAGCAGGAAGTCAATTCTTTGGTTTTGGCCAAAGACCATAAACCATCTCTGGGATTTGGATATTACTGTCCGTGACTTACAATGCAAATCCAAACAAGTGAAGATGGACCAACAATCCAAGATGAAGACCAAATGGAACAACCCAGCATATCAAGCAAGTGACACGGTGGCACCCAAGATTATCAGTATCGTCTTGTGCTTGTGTGCAACCAACCTCAGAGAAGAGAGCCCAAGGTGACAGACATCTGAAGATTCCCCCGTCCATACCTGGAACTTGTGGGATTGGAACAGCCTTTTCATAACATCCCTGAAGGTTGGACGCCTGGGCGCTGATTCAACTTTAACCACAACCTCTGGTGCCTTCCCTTCTTCCTCTTCTGTCTCTTCCTCCTTCCATTTCTTGTAGTCGTTGTTCCACTGGGCAGTGTCATCTCCCACCACCGTGAAGTGTTTCAGATACATCGACATGGTGGTCACTCAAAAGGACATCACCCCCGGAGAACAGCTGCAGAAGCAGATCCTGGTTAGTCAAAGGCTCGGTCAATCACCTTCCTAGGGATACATTCATAGGCAGGTATAAAGAGAGAGGAAAAAATGAAATCATGCAGCTAAAGTGATCATTTTTTCAGGGGTCTCCGAAGTTGCCAACTTTAAGACTACCAGCATGGGGAATCAATTCTGGGAGTGGAAGAGTCCACAAGCCTTAAAGTTGCCAATCGTGGAGATCCCCAATTCAGGGGACTGAGTCCAGATCCCTCCTCAATGTAAGGCAGCTCCCCAGCAGATAACAACAGTCTAGGCACTACTCAAACAAACCCACCCAGAGTCACTGAGAGTGCCATCTCCCACCACCGTGAAGTGTGGGAGATGACGCCAAATCACATACAATTTTAGCAAATCATCATCATCAGGAAATTTGCTACTTCCCTAATTAACTACCCATGAATCACCTTTCCTACTAACTAGGCACACTCAACGAAGCATCAATTTGTTCTCACAGCATTGACAAAATCCCAGGAATTATGTGCCTTTTTTGTTTAAAAAAGAGGATTAAGAAACCAACCTGTCCTACAGGACACTGTGAGGAGAAATCAAATAAGGGATCCTTTTAGAGCAGAGGTCTTCAAACTTGGCAGCTTTAAGACTTGTGGACTTCAATTCACAGAATTCTCCAGCCAGTCCACAAGTCTTAAAGCTGCCAAGTTTGAAGACCTCTGTTTTAGAAGAAGCAGAGTGAAAATGCTACCTTTAGGAAGAAGAGAATTATGATACATAACCACTACGTAGGAAGCCAGCCTTGATCCTCGGATCACCCCCAAAATTGTCTCCCTCTTACCGTGTCCAAGGTCTTTCTCTCCGCCCACCAAGCCCGTCTCTCTTCTGCCAAGGAACCTCAATCCAAAACTCGAGCACCCCTCAAAGCCCACCTCAGAGAGAGCCCCGTCTGCCGTGCTAGAGAAGGACCTTTGCTGGCTTGTAAGAGAGGCAAAAGAGAACCAAAAAAAAAAAACCACCCACGTTTCCTGTTTGCCTTATTTTGCATAAGACATTTCTGGCGCAATCTTTTCTGCTGATAAAACTCCGGGAGGGGTGAAGGAGGGGAAAGCCCACCCTGAGTTAGCCAACCACTGCTCTTAGAGAAAAGCAATCACTCCCTGTGTTTGTTGTGGGTACAAACCATGGCTAGGAGGGTTCTCCTTGTCCTTGGCTGAGATGGCATCTACGTGACTCATGGGAAGCTCCTGCAGAAGGAAGACCCACCGGGAGGGGCAAGGACTTGCTAAAACTAGCCCAAAGTGCAAACAATTTAGTGCCACCGGAGCGGGCTCTGGTTGAGAGAACTAGTTGGCACAGATGTCTGCTCTGTTTATGGTACCAATAGTGGCCAAATAAATACCAATCAATGCTGGTTTATGGTCCTGTTCATAAACAGCTTCCACGTAATTAGAAGAACAGGTTTGCATGGCTATGCAAAAGCTCTCCGTCCTAATCTAATCAGGATCAGGAATTAAAACCTCCTTATCTATTTGCTGCCCAGAAGGGTTTATCCTCAATATTGTCTAGCAACAAACAACCTCATTCTCCTTCAGTGGCCGGGGCGGGGCGGGGGGGGGCGCACGGTTTACCAAATCGGCAAGGGATTCTCTTGAAACGCTCAAGGTTATTGCAAAACGATAGCGGTCTATTTTTAAGCATTAAGAAATGTCTCGATGTTTCTCCCCAAACAAACAGTACATAGTTTGCTCTTTCTTCATATATAGTGGCCCTTGCTCTCCCTTCCTCCTCTCATCCTGAACTTGAGTGTGTTGGGTTAAACCGATGGGTGGGAGCATCAGCTCAGGGCAAGCTTACACAATCCGCAAACCTGTGGAACAATTTATAGTAACAGTTGCGTAAAAGAGAAAGCCATTCTGAGCTCAGCCTCGGAAATCAGGATTTTACCTATTTATAGCAGCCAGCTCTTAAAATAGACAGCTCCAAGAAGGAAAGTAATACCTGTTTCTTGACTAAACCCAAAGTGGTTGAGTTCAAGAACCATCCTAAGCCATTAATCATGGATTACAAACACCAATGGCTCTGTTGACAGCTGGTGCTTAACTCAGAATATAGGTGTTGCCTGGTTGTCTTCTCCAGGAGTCTCCAATTAATGTTCTAAACCCCATAGAAAAAGAGGGGAGGTAGCTGAGGCAGGAGAACCTCAAGGTCTCCTGGGCTCTAAAAAGCTCCTGTTCTGATTGGTTGGTTTTCTTGGAAAGCTGTAAGGTTAACCCCATCCAAACTCTTAAAGAAGGAACCTTTCTAGGCATGAAATAATGAATGTTTCACCTGTCACCTGTCTGGGAAACCTGGACTTCACTTTCAAGAAAGGCTCTTGGGTCATCTGGCAAACCAAAACAGTGGAGAAATCCTAGCTTCCCATAAACAATCACTTAGCCATCTTTCATTCACCTGGGAAGAGAGGCAGATCTGCTCTCCTCCTACAACGCTAAAAGGGGGAGGCTGCCTCCTTGTTTAACCATGATTTGTTGAATAAGCCACACTTCTGTCAAACCCAAGCAAATTGCTCATCGTATGACCTATAGTCCCTCCCAGTCTCTGTCCTGTGCTGCCTTCCCAACCTGGCACCTCCACCTTCCCGAAACCCCCAATTTTGGACTTTGAGCCGAAGGCCAGGAGGCATCTCCCCTATCTTGTGAGTCCACCTCTCCATTTTGCTGACCAAGCTTTGCTGGCTATAACTTGTCCACTCCAAAGCACCTAGGAAACTCACCGAAGCTTGTTGAAAAATCTGCCTTAGTTAAATATTCTCCGTCTTCCACTGAAACCAACTCAAAGGGATTTATTTACTTTTCTTGCAATCCGTCCACTCCTCCTTCAAGACAAACTTTCACAACTTTTCTAGGATCTAGAAGACCCCCTCCCCAACAACCTTCCTTGCCTTCATGGCCTGTGATTTGGAGGTGGGGCTTCTTGCTTGCTTGTCCCATTCCCCCCCACCTCCATCTTCAATTTTTTTTAAAAAATTATGCTTTCAGCCATTCTTCATTGTCCAGATTCTTCCCCTTTTTTTGTTTTGGCTCAATATAACTCACTTTATCAAAAGCCGCACATGACTTTTGGGCAACTCTTCCCAGGCCTTAAGTAAACCTCTGTCAACCCTTTTTCATAGTCCTGCTAACATCCTATTGGAGGTCATTTATATGTACATCTTTAAATAATCACCCAGCTTCCTTCTATATTTTCTATATTAAGTGAAAGGCCCTTCTTTCCACAGTTAAAAAGCCAAGCTTTTGTATTCTTTATTACTACTGAAAAAAGTTCCTCTTTTGCTCATTTGAAAAACAAATTCTGGGGGCATTTTTCCTCCCTGGGGAGGGTTATTTTCGTTTGGTGCCCTTTAGCCCCAGCATTTATATTTCTTGAGAACCCCGGTGTCTGCAGCAAAGCCACAGGGGTAACACTGGGTCTATTAGAGTAGGGGGTCTCCAAACTTGGCCTCTGGTGGACTTCAAGTCCCAGAATTCCCCAGCCAGCTGGGCTAGGTTAGGACCACCCCCCTCTGTGTAAAAACGACACTGGCTGAATTCACCGGGTCAAGCCAAGGGCCTTGTGATGAAGACCAGGGGGCCGGCTGGGGAATTCTGGGAGTTGAAACCACCAAATCTTACCGTTGCCGTGTTTGGAGGGCGCTGGTGGGGACCCTGGTGAGCCTCTTAGGATGCAATCGTGGGCTTGCCTTGCCCAAGTGGCATCCAAAGGCCGCTGGTCGTCCTGCAAGCGGCTCCCTCTTCCCCTCCGCCCCACCTCTAAGCCCGCACCGGCCGCTTCCAGACGAGCAGAGGCCTCTTGCCCCGTCGGGCTGGGCTGGGCTGAGCCGAGGAGATGCCGGGCGCCCGAGCCAAGTTCAGGGGGTTGCGGAGCCCCTTCGCTCCACGACTCCAGAGCAGGGAACTGGGGAGGGGGGCCTGCGGGGATGGGAATCGTCCCGGGACTGCTCGGCCCCGACCCCTTTTGCTCGCGGCGGCCACGCAATGGGCAGGGGTCTCCGCCTCTCGGGCTCCCCGGCTGGGTGGGTTGCCCCTGCGCGACTCCCTCCCTCCTTCCCTCCCGGGCCCCCCTTGCCGTACCGTGCGGGGCCCCGAGCCGCTTGGAGAGCCTGGGCTGGCGGGCTGGCTGGTGGGGGCGCCTCCTCGCCTCCGCCCCCGCCTTCCCCGCCCCATTGGCGCAGAAAGCGCCTCTGGATGCAGGAGGAGGAGGAGGAGGAGGCGGGCAGCCCGGCCGACCCCCCTCCCCTCCCCTCCCGCTGGCCGGAGGGCGCCTCTCCCCGCGGGCAGCAGGCAGGCAGCGCCGTCCGGGCTCTTCCGCGCAGCCGGCGGGGGACTGGGGCAGGGGCTGTGCCGGGTTCCCACCCGGGGCTGCCGAAGCGGCTGCAGGGGGCGATGCGCGGGGAAGCCGCCGCCTGGCCAGGGAGGGCAGGATCGGCTGGGCTCGCCTCCCGATTTCCAGGCGCCGCTGCCCGCCTTTCAGCCCGGCCGAGCGCGCAGCCAACATCCCGGGCAAAAGGTCGGCTTCAGCTGGCGGTTGGATTCGGCCCCCTTTGCCCGTTAGGCTGGCCAGCCAGGCCCCCGACCCATGCCAGGCAAAGCCGCCGTGGCTTTAGGGAGAGCGCGGGGGGGGGGGGGGGCTTGGGCCCCCCGGGTTTCCCCCCCCCCCGTTTTGCCTTCAAGCGCACCCCCTCCCCCCAGTTCCAACCCAGGTGCGCTGCTCTAGTTAAGGACCACTCACTAGCTCTGATGTCTGTCTGTGGCTGCAGAAGCAACCTCACCCGCCCACCTCCCTCCCTCTCATTCGGGAGCCAAGAAGTCTTTGAGTAAAATGTTAGTAAATGCACGGCACCTTAGCCCCTCCTGGTGGCACCTTTTGTAAGGCCACCTGTTTGATCTGCCCTTGCTGCTTCTGCCTTATCGCCCAAATTAAGGGGTGGGAAGGGGGGTGCCCCATGGTCTCTACTGGCTTGCTCCAGTTATGGGTAGCTGTCCACTTCTGGGCAAAGATCACATTTTGAGGATGATAAGGCAGCCTCCTCCGAGGGACACCAGAGAAGTCTTCTGCCCGCCCAACACTTCCACCTTGGCTGGGCCTGCAGGTGAAGCTGCTTCCAAAAGTGGGCAGCTTTCTCCACTGTGATGAACCCCTCTCGACCAGAGAAGGCCAGGCCTGGCCCTGCCTTCCTTCAAAATCCCAGGGGCTCCCTTTACTAAGTTCTCACCTCTTTAGATAGGATTATTTATCATCATCATCATCTTATTCATTAAACATGAAACTTGAGTCAACTGAACATTCAAAAATGCATCACAAATACCACTGACTGGGGCTAATGGTTGATAGGGGTTGCTGCCAGCGTCCTAGGGATCAACCAAGTACCTTCTTAAGAAGTACGATATTCCAAGTAGCGCAGTTTTTTGCACTTCCACTGGTGTTATTGCAGGAAGCTGCAATTTGCTGATGTATCTTATAAAATTCTTGAACATGGTACATGTTGTTATTGTTATTACTATTATATGGAGAGGGAGTTTCAAGTGACTTTTCATTAATGCAATGCTGAAAAAAACCCAACACCATTAAAATTTAACAAGTTACTCATTTAATAGGCATTTTACCACATTTGTATTGTACACTGTCATCTGTTTAAAAAGATTACAGGTTTTTCTTTAAAAACAAAACAAATAAAAACCACAAGAAACTGTGAGTCATAGAAACAGGTGAACACTGGTTCACTGCTGTAGTTGGTTGTTTTCTAAGCTTTGTAGAGAGCGAGTCTTCAAGATGCAAATAAAACAAAACCTAAAGTTAATTCTAATTCTCAGGCAAGTCTCTTCACATGTTACAACTTCCTGAACTGGCTAAAAGAGCACAGTAGCACGCTTCGACACTGAATATAAGGGAAGTATCAAAAGTCTTTAATCCTGTACTTCAGCTGCTCACAGCTTTACTCTGCTAGTTCAAGTCGTCCTTCCTGCAGAGGAAAAAATCCAGCTTAGACACCAGTGCATCTCTACGGGCCTTGCTGACCGGTCTTTCCCTGCACAACTTCATTTTACAGAGACACAAATCTTAAAATCATGGCTTTAATTAAGTGATTTCAAAGTATACGGGAGGGTTAGGGTGCTGCAATTAAAACAGACGTCATACTAGTGAAGCTGGCAAAGGTTTTGAGGGTTGGTTGGGAAAGCTGACAACGGGACTCATGTACATGACAAGGAAAATGCAAACCCTTTAAAAACAAAAGCGTTTTACAAGTGAATCGTATCAACAGTATGCGATTTGACGGTCAGACAAGTTTCCTAGTCTCGCGGCACGCTGGTGCCTCGTTGGCTCCTAAAATAAAAACAGGCATTGCACATCACCTGGTCTCTATCAGTTCAAGGAGTCGGTTGTACAATTACCCAGAATGGCAGAGGTGGAGAGGTGCTGTGAAGTGTACAGCGGAACATCAAGAACAAAAAAAACAAACAAACAAAAAAAGGTGTTGTGTTTTTTTCCCTCTCTTTCCAAAGACCGATTTTTTTGTTTTTTTA